TTTTAACTAAACATATCTTTAATCAGTAAAAGCTGAAGATAAGAGCCGAAATTATTTCAACTCTTAGATACATAGAGAAAAGAATTTCTTTGTATTTAATAAATTTTATTGCATCCAAATAAATTTGATCATCAGTATAATCTGAAAAAACTAATGTTTCTATCAGTAAGTACAATTGCTTGGTTTTCCAAGTAATTTTATTGTTCAAGTGATTTATTGTTTGATTTAAGGAAAAAAACTTATTTGGTTTTAAAGAGAAAATATTGTTTCTCTTAATTTTCTCATTTTACTAACAAAAATAATTTCACAAATAATAGAACAGATGTTGACACAGTGTACACTAACGAACCAGTGATTGCTCTTAGATTTTTAACCAGACGTTATATTATATTCGTTAGTACAAACATTAGATTATATTGAAAGATGAAACATTTGAAACAATAGCTTGCTTTTTGATCAAATAATATAATCCAATCCAGAGCGAAATAAAATTTAAAGCATAACCAGGAAGTAATATTATTTAATTAGATATTTTCTTTGAATAATAGTTGTTTTCCATCGAACAACATGGTTTAATCTAATAAAACAAGTTGATATCTGATATAGAATTATGTTGTTCAATAAAACTATTTCCATCATATATCACTCGTGAAATCCAGGCGTCCGCAATCATAAGATTCGCCCGAATTGTGCGAAAATTTGTTCGCGATAGGCAGCAGGAGCGAGAGAAGTGTCGTGAAAAAAAAATGAAAGATTCAGACTCTTCTGTTGATAAACAAGGCGACGCCGAAAGGATTAAGGACCGGGATGTAGCTACAGTGTACATCTCGGCGTTTCAGATTCAGTATCGCCTTATTTACCCCCCAGGCGCGATAAGCAGCGAGTGAACACACACACACACACATACATCGGACCGACGCGTGCACGCGCGCGCGTACGCAGAATGCCAGAAAGTGCATCGTAAGCTACCGGTCGGTCGGTCGGTCGGTGCATACTCTTCCTGTTGCCATCTCTGTCTTTCTCGCTCCTTCCTTCTCTCTTTTATCTGCCGTTCTCTCGCTCTCGCTTTATCCGCGTTCGGTCGATCACCCTCCGCGCTTCCTCCCTCCTCTCCTCGCCGGGCCCAGCGCGCGATAGCGGTTCGGTTAGCCGCTGACGTCGCTATCCCCCTTATCATCCCCTCGGCCCCGTCCCCTTCCCCGCCATTGCTCGAACCCTCGACCACCCTTGTGACACGCACGCGCGTGACAACACGCGTGTGACACGACGGGATGACCCGAGAATGTATATTAAAACGTCGCGAACGCGCGGCGATGAGGCCGAAAAATTCTTTCCACCTAGCCGACCGTCGGAGAATGAAAATAATGACGCAGGTCAATGTCTCATTGTTTCGTTGATGTTCTTTTTCTTTTGTCTCAGTAGTTTGAGAAATGTATTGAGATTCCGTAATTTCTGTAGGCGCCACAATTAATTGAAAACGTGAAACGCAATAAATGATAATCCGTAAAAATGTCTCAAAAGAGTCATAGAATATTAAATTTTTTATTTCCAGAAAATAATAATATATTATCGCGCACGCTTTTCATACCTTACTCCTTTGATCCTCTTCGGTCCTCCTTTTCGTCATGTTTAAGATAAAAAGCTGAACTAAAAGAGCAATGTACACAATTCTCTCTTTTATAATAAAAAGTTTAATTTTCAAGGAACGCTCCTCTTTAGACCTCCGTGTACGAGAATTAAATTCTCAAAGCAGACGGAAAAAAAATTAAACTCTCCGATGTTGATACTTATGTAATAACCTTGCAAAAAGCCTTAACCGCACGTAAGCGAGAAATGTCAGTGGTACCGGAGAGTGTCATCGAAAAAGGTCAAACCTTGAGAACTTGAGAAGTTAAAACTGTTCCCATCGGAATATTTAGAGGGGATGTAATCGAAAATAACTCACGTCCTGTCTCTCAATTAAGCATAACCGATACACAGGATTATCATAAATTTGTGCATAAACTTTACAATATATAATACCTTAGCAGCATGTATATGTATAATATATCTGCAGTCAGTTCTTTCATATGAAAAATTTATTCAGGCGTTATTTTTTCTTGCTAAACTTTCATAGTTAATATTAAACATCGGCGAGGAATTTAATATTAAATATAATCAAGCAAATATGATAATTAAATATAATTACGAGTATAAGTAAGTTAAATATAAGTTATTTGGTGAATATAATTAATCAGGAATTTATAAAAATAAAATTACACATAATAAAAATCATATAATTAAATATAATCAATATTAAATATTAAAAGTTATATATAAAATAATTTTTAGACGATTGTCTTGAGGATGTTGTAAGGCAAAATGAGTTTGTTAAGAACTTATTGCGACATTTATTATATATATATATATATATATATATATATTTTATATATATATATATATATATATATATATATATATATATTATGTAATTAGAAAAAGATTGATTATTTGAGAGTTGAGATATTTAAAACTAAATTGATATTTTGCATACGTGATCCTTAGGATTGGCTATAATTTCTATTTTTAATTTCTAAAATTGATGTTTAAACTCTAAAATTGGAGTTCTAATGGAAAACTATTATCATATTAAAGATTAATATTATATGCAAATTATATTAATTAGAATTATTGATCATTTTGTTGGAAAACGGCGGTGGAAAGTTCATGTAACTCATACTAATACTCGAGATATATACAAATTTAAATACTTATATATCTCTAATTTATATATCTCTTTCTATTATCTGTACAGTTCTATTAAATCAATTGATGCGCAAATGAAGCATTAATAAGAAAAATTAGAAAATATGTTTCTTAATTTGTGTGTATATATTCATCAGAACTTTGTTTCAAATCAACGTTCACTAATTAGATAATGAAATAAGTAGTTAGAAACGTATCTTGTATGATAAATAGTAAGTTTATGAATGATCCCCTTGATTACTAAGCCTCCTTAAATAAAGTGTACTTAAAGTGATATAACGAATGTTAAGATTCCTCTCGTTATTTTAATCCCCAAGCTTATTCCACGGCAGTCTTTTAATTTTCAATTGCCGCTAAATGTGCCATCAAGTGCTCCAGAATTTTCGGTTTTAAAGAAGAACCGGCTGAATATACGCGGTGAAAAAGGAACGTGTCATCGTGCGACGAAACTTATGCCGCATAAAGTTACGGCCACCCTGAATAGCGTGTTGTGCTTGCTCTCGGAGCAGCACGCGCACACCCGAGCTATAGTTCGCGCGTGTGACGTCACTGGGTGGGTGCGTCTCGACCAGACGACGATAGCGTCGCCGAAGAAGACGAGGAGGACGCGGCCGCGAGGCTCTTCCGCGTTCCTCGCCGAGCCTTCTTCGCGGCGGAGAGGAAGGGACGCGACCGACTCGGGACCGGTCGGCCGAGGGTGGGAGGAGAGGATCGCATGCGACTTGATCTCGATCGATCAGCCGTTAGATTTTATCGCCTCGCGACGAGGCGTCGTCGTCATCGTCCTCGTCGACGACGACGCGCGCGACGACGGTCTCGCGTATATCTGATCTCTATAGTCGCCCGTAATTGCCCATAATGAGTCCGTAAAAATGGGAAGAGAGGAGGAAGAGGAAGACCGAGACGGCGATGAGAGCGCGTTCAGCGCTCGCTGATGCGTTGTTCGATCGCGTGCATGCACTTCGTCTTACCCGAGACAGTCGCGCGGAATTTTTTGCACGTCGCCCGTATATGACATTCAGCGCGATAAGTGCCAAGTGGAATGGGGATCGATATCCACAAGGTTGCGTAAGAAATTTCTGCGTGGTATGTGTCCTGATCTACGCAAAGTGCGTCAAAGGGTTGAGTTTGCTCGGCGGAATCCTCGGCGGACTGTTCGCACTCGTGTTCGTCGTTACTCAATTTAGGCTGATCTAATGAAAAGCGAGCAAGCAGCGACGAGCGCAACTAAAAAAAAAGAATGTCTAAATGAAAAATATTTGGTCGCGGCGGATACTAATAAGATATTTACTTGGATCTAAATTCTTTATTTAAATAGAACAAACGATTACTTTCATGAAAAGCTAAAATCTAAAGAAAATGTATATTTTCTTATTTGAAAACTATTTTATATATATTAGTTTAAGCAAACATGTTATTAGTATACCCACTGAATATTTTTTATTTCTCAAATATTTTTTCACTCGCACGAAACAGCTTTTTTCAAATAATACATACCGATTTTTTTATCTTTTTTGGGATCTGATACAAAAACCTAGAAGATGATCTATGCTAAAAAAGTAACTCATTATTGTTTAGACCACTTATACAAAGTATTTTATTTTAAACAATATAAAGATATATAATAAGAGATATCTCGCAAATGATGCATTTTCGAAAAAAAAATTTTTTAAACAAGTTGATTGGTTTCACAAATTAATTTCTATTATAAAATTTTATAATTGTATTGAAAAAGAATAAGGCGACTTTATATCGTCACTCTAAAAGAGACTTTTAAGATTAAGCGAAGGTCATCATATTTTGCGTGTCCTTCAAAACAACTTTCGTTTAAAGATTTTTTTTTAATCGTTGTTTGCGGAATATCTTATTAAATATTCTTATGTTATTTAAAATAAGAACACTTTGTATAAGAGGTCTAATAAGCTATCTTTTTTAGCATGAATTATCATCCTTCGCTGTATCAGACTCCAAAAAATGAAAAAAATCCACATGTATCGCATATGAAATGTTACTTGTTAGTGTATGTAAAAAACATTTTGCGAGGAAGTACCTTTCACTATCGCGCTGTACACGTCGCGTTTTGATAGAAGCTTGACTCTATCGCCGAGCTATGTTCACCAATTGTATCATCAAATATGTGATTATATCACCCAATAGTCTCTAAGCCTTATCAAGGCCCGGCGGGACGAGTAAATCATTAGCATCAATTCGATTTAATCTTGACAATACCAACACGTGACCTGCTTTGTTTACAGCCGTTAAATTCGGGCGCATGTCGAAGAAGCAACGGGAGAAGGTCGAGGATGAAGTCAGATTCCACAGGGCGCAACTGAGGGCGGCCTCGGAGACGGCGCCGGACAGCAGCGTGTACGAGCATCAAACTCCGAGCAGTTCGGATCAACACCACCCCTACAATGGCGGGTAAGCAGGAAGCGCGAGAATTTAATGTTCAACTGAGATCCTCAATTAACTCTAACGTCTGCCGGAGTTCTCTGTCTCTTCCCCGTCTATACATTATTAATTGGACTGTAACTTCGCGCCTGGCGCAATTGCGCTAATCTAGAATTACAGATAATGGAAACGTCGATGAATCGCTTCGGTTTTACAAGGTGAATCGATAAAATGATCCGAAAACGTGCACGCGGGGAAGAGATGTCTGAAAGATTAAAGGTGAAACGCAACACGAAGACACGAGTTTAGGATTGGCTTTTAACGTACGAAGTAGAATTTGCAATTACCTTCGACGCGACTCTCGTCAAAGTACCCGATGCGCCGCGTCTCTTTTGAGACATTTCACATCGGATGAAACGCTCGCTCATAGAATTCTACGAAATCATTAACTTGCTGAGAGCACCTTGACGTATACCTATCTATTTAATCGTTCCCGCGATGTAAACTTGAATACATAAACCGTCACCGCCGTCGTCGTCGTCGTCGTAGTCGGCTGACGTCGACTCGCGGCGGCGCCTCCTCGTCAACGAACGACTCACGCGGGCCTGTCATTTGCCCCCTGACAGCTACACGTACGGCGGTAGTGAGTACGCGTCGTCGGGCCCCGGCACCGGCGGTTATACGAATTACAATCACCAGGCGATGACGAATTACGAGCTTAGCGCCGACTACGTCGACAGCACGACGACCTACGATCCCAGGCCGACGCAGACGCAGGTCGCGGACACCGTCGCGCCCGACACACCCTCGGCCGTCACCGCGACCGGGGTGCTGCCTAGCGTGGTCACCACCGGTGAGTACTGTTTTATTAATTTTATCTTACGCGCGAAGCCGTTTCGATTTTTCGATAGCGCGCCAGACTCTCGACGGAGTGCAACGGGAAACGTGAACGTGAAACTCTCAATTGACCTCTGCGAAGGGCGAAAGTCATACAGAGAAAAAATATCTAAGAAGTGAAATATACTTATTCGGTGATAACCAGAATTGAGAAGTAACGCCGTTACCGTTACCATTACTTTTTTCGATAACGATCGTTACTTTTTACTACTTGTAACGGTAATGTAAATGTAGTTATATTTTTACAGTAACGATAACGAATTCAACTGTTACTTTGATCATTACTTTAGTTATCTCTATTCAATAGATGATACGCTGGTCGCGCGCTGATAATGTGAATTAGGTATTCTCGATTGGACAAAAATATCTCGATATTCATTGGAAGACAGTACGTGGTTTTATCTTATTTTTTATGTAAAAACAATTGTTAGTGCAAAGTTAGATTTTGCAATTTAACTATTAAAAATTTTTAATAAATTTAATAACAGGTATGTTTAGTGTAGTTCACTTTTTTGTAAGAAACCATGGAACAAGTGTATGTGTGTGTGTATTACACTAAGCCCCTATCTATTATTAAATTTATTAAAAATTTTTAAGAGCCGAATTGTAAAATCTGACTCTGTATAATAATTTTTGTGTAAAATAATAAAAGATAAAAAAATAGAATCAAGCTCATAAAAAGATATTCTCTGAATTAGGATCATTGCAGTTTTAAATGGTTTGTTCTTTTTAAATAAACTGGTTATGCTAAAAATAATTTTAGCTTAAAACAATAATTTTATTTTAAAATCAACTACATATTTTATCTTAGTATTATAAAAAAGTAAGGAAAAAGTATCGAGCCGTTACTTTCTTAATAATGGTAATGAGTTACTTTTTAAAATTAGTAATGAGTAACAGTAACGAGTTACTTTTTACGAAAAGTAACAGTAACGCGTTTCTTTTTTGAAGTAACGTTTCCACAACTTTACTAATAACGTATTTACTTCAATTCTTAAATTGTGTTATTTAAATTGGATAAACAATCATGAAAAGCTTTGATATGAAAAACTAAGCTTTAAAAAACAATTGTTTTTTCTTATTTGAGAAATTTTATATTAATATAAGTAAATATCTTATTATAGTAAATATCTTATTATATTACTTATATATAAATATTTCTTATGTTTTAAATATTTTTTCTCTGAGTGTAGAGAACAGAATTCTTACAATAGAGAAGTGAAGATAGTTTTTTACGTCGAGAATGAGGACTTTTTCATTACTTCTCAAATTGTAGCGCGTCCTTTAGAACGGTTGCTACTTCTTTCGGCTATAAACAGTCGAGAGGGAAATGACAATTGCTTCGATATAACGTTATTGAAGAATCATTGATGCACCAAAGGCTCTAGAGATTGAAGGATTTTTGTCAAATTGAGATTTACGAATAATATATAGAGAAGGTTCCGGTTGTTCTCTCGCCGATCGATCTCAACTAAACTTTACTTTAACGGGATTTTAAATTGAAGCTCTCAGTTACAAAGGTATTTAATGAGAAAAGTTGCTAAGTTATGAGAAAACAGATGCCCAATCAAATTTCCATTAAGAAAAAAATTGGAAGTCTGAAGCCACTCAAAGGACTCTTGAAGAAACAAGCGACGATAATTCTGGAACGACCTGCATAATCCAGTTTTCTTTCTTTCTTCCTATCTTCCGCAAGTTAATATTTTTTTTTTTGTAATATTGAAAATGTCAGATTTATTCATGAATTCGTGATACGTGAAATTATATTGAAATATTCATATTCAAATTAACTATTAAAAGTATTCAAATTAAATATTAAAAGTAATTAAATATTAAAAGCTTATATCAGTTTGGCCGAAATATATATAAAGATACGGGATACATTATTTAGAAATTGTTCTGATTTATGAAGAATTGACTTTATTTAATCTCTTGCATTTCAATTATTATCATCTAGGAAATACATAAAGTGTCCATTTTATCCAAAAAATAATAAAAATCGAGATAGGCGGAGAAAGGCGGTATAAACAACGATATTTTCGCAAGTTACTGATGCATCTTCCATTTATACGCACATGCAGAATTTTTACGTGAATAATGTTCGTAAAATTTACCCTCGAGACTTTACGCGATCTTTTACGTGGCACGCAAAAGAATAAAACTGTTACCAGTGCACTCGCATTACATAAGAGATGATTTTAATAAGTACGCGCTGGATTGGAATTGTAATCTTGTGGACGCGACTGTTAAGTTCTCGCTTTGCAACTGGCACGCTAAATGCATTCCGGAGCACTGTCATTAACCCGCAGTTAATTGCATTCGTGTCTTTAATATCGTCAGACCTCCTTCCATCCCACGTCCTTGTCATCGATAATGATTTCTCAGGCGAAACCGCAAATATTCCTCGCGCTTTATTGCGCGGCGTACTCTCCTCCGCAATAGGGACATAAAAAGAGAATTTTCTGCGAGACTTGTTTTATCTTTCACCTTTTCATTCAAAGATATATCTTATAATTATAAGAAATAAAAAGGAACTACATAAAGTATAATTATTGTATATAATTGTATAGCTACACATTAGCTTTTGTGTACAGAGAGAACGGTTTCTTTGGATTTACATTAAAGAAATTATTTTTATATTTGATATTGAAATATTTGGTATATATGATTTAATTGTGTAAATGATTACTATGTTCTTTATCTGTGTCAAGTAAGATGTGTCAGTAAGGAAACAAAATACACGTGTAGCAAATAAATTTTTTGTTGCAATTATCAAATTTTGATTAATTTCATTTTAATCAAATTTTGGTCCGGCATCAATTTTCGTTTCGACAACAAGATCCTTTTTTCAGTGTAAGCATAGTGCTATCAATTGTCAGAGTTGGCATCAATTTCTGTGTGATCATTAAAGTCAAACTACTCAGATCTTGATTAGTAAAAAGATGAATGACCGAATATCACCGATGGGAAATTTGGATGGAAAATTGGATACGAAGAAAAAGCTTGGTTGTATTAACATGAAGTTTAACTATAATGAATAGAATAACGTGTTTTGGTTGAAGAAAATGGAATTTTTGAGTTTTAAAACCAAATTTGGGTTAAGAACAAAAAATTCTGTGTTCTTCAGCTAAAACACATTGGTTTGTTCATTAATATCAAATTTTACGTTAATATAAATTTTTTTCTTCGTGCGAGATGAAAAAGACACACATAGTGAAATAATAAAAAAAAGCAGACCAGCAATATTGCGAAAAAAGAAATATCAAGTTCCTTAAAACTATATATATTTAAACAGAATCATTAAATTTTTTTAGTAAAATGAAATTAAATCAAACAATTTTTTTCTTCGAACTAAACTGTAAATTATTTAGGCCAAACAAAATTTAAAACGCCAGACAATCGTATTTATTGACTAAAAAATTTGGACTTTTATTTGGACTATTCCAATAAATCAATTTATTTGAATTTAATAAAATTTATTGAGTCCGAAGGAATTATTCTTTCTGTTTGCCGGAAATATTTTTTAGGAAAAATTGATTCACGATTTTTAGGAAATTGATTCACGTGTTGATATAGACAATTCTGATTTGCACGTGAAGGTTTTCCAGAGTATTTTGCATAGCTATAAGTACAGAACGCGATTTACATAACCAGAGCCAAACCGATCTCTGTAAATATACGTTAGAGACTTGTCACGGAGATTTCCATATATTAATTTCAGCTGATCGTATGTGCTACAATCAAATTGTGATATATGAATTGAAAATTCAGTATAGAACGTGGAGTTTCTTTTTACAACGCGAGCGTGTGTATATAATGTACCGTAATAGGAATTATCATTTTATCTGGGCAGAGTCGCCGTAGAATAGAACGCGAACGCGTTAGCCCTTCCGAAGACATTGTAATATTTAAATATAATATCACATGCACATCTGTCGATGACATATGCCACGGTGCTGCATATTTTTTTATTTATTGAGAGAGACTCGCGTTCCGTGTCTCAATCAAAGTCCTGTGTGAAGCTTCGCAGATGTTTCGGTAATAGCTCGAATCATACATAGACGAAGCTCACTTTCGCCGTATAGAATATCCCGGAAAATTATGCTATTTGGTCTTTTCATTCGACTCTATCTTAGGAATCTTATATTTGAACGACGTTTCACAGACTGGTAAATCACTTGACATTCGAAATCTCGTCGGTTAACACTAGAATATCCGGGAACAACAACTCCCGTTAGGTTGTTCGATTTCTCTATCTTTTTTGTGACTCTATATTAGCGAGTTCTACTTAAAAAATAACTAAAAGTCACTAGAGATTTTTTTCTAAATCACGAGAAGCAAGAATGGTGACAACAAGAGGATCTTAAAGAAGCCAGAATGATTCCGTCGGGCGTTCTAGTGTTAATAGACAGAATCCTCAATCCTAGATCTCGGAGCTAAGAGGAGCTCTACGCTCTTTCTCTTCTTTTCGGAAATAAAATACTTGTCCCTCTTGTATAAGTGTTTCTCGCAAGCAGAGTCTATCTTTCAGAAGTCTCGGGTTCTAGACAGGATAGTATATCCGAGGGCACACCCACACTTCGACTCAGTCAGTCGAAGAGAAACAATTGAAGTTCAAACATAGAATCGTCATTGTATTCGCCATTGATCGTCTATTCATTCGTCATCTCATGGGACTTCTTTGAAGAGCAGGTCCCGCACACGTGTCTAGATGCTCGTCCGGGGCGTTAAGATAGACTCTGCGCGCGACTATCAGTCGCGCGCGCGCGAGGCTGAAATATTTAGAGACCTATTCGGCCCAACCTCTGAGACCAATTCAAGCCCTCGTGAACTTTGACTTTTCGGCGCATCAGGGAAGTCTCTGTCTGCCTCGACGACCGGCAGCGGTGCGGGGGGTGGCGGTACCGGCGGCGGAGGCGGCGGTGGTGGCGGCGGTGGCGGTGGCGGCGGTAGTGGTGGCGGTGGTGGTAATGGTGGTGGTGGTAACGGTGGTGGCGGTGCTGGTAGCGGTAGTGGTAGTGGTAGCGGCGGCGGTGGCGGTTCCGCCGCGGCCGCCGCCGGGGCTGCTGGGGGTGGAGGCGGTGGCGGCGGCAGCGGCTCGCTTAGCGGCGGCGGGATCGTCGCCGTAAAGCAGGAGACCACCGTTGAGCTCGCCGGCCTGGGCCACGGCTCGTACACGATGGTCGACTCGACGACCTTCCTGAGCGGCCAACAGCAGAGGGTCAGCAACCCATCTGAGGACGACGAAGTGCCGAGTGTGCCCAGTATGTCCCATGCGAGATGTGAGGTTGCGTTTGTGTCCCTTTGCACGTGGCATGCGCTCGTAACCACCTCTTTCGATTAATCCCCCGCCTAGCTTAGGCCAAAGTTTTGCGGGAAAGTTTCGGTGGACCGAGAAAATCGGAAGAGCGATCGGGCATTAGATCGGGAATCGTGATGAGACTGAAAACTGAGGAGATTTATCTCGGCGGGATTTATCTATCTCCACGCGAGTTTCAAATATTTCTTTTGCGGTAAAAGAGATGCTCCAAGAGCAGCAGTTTTACACAATTTTAAATAAGCATAATACTGCGAAAATCGTACTTGAAATTCTTTTATTTTTAAGAGTACTTTAAGGAGCTTTTGCCAGATTTTCAATTTATCCTCTCCTCTTTACACCATTTTTTTTTAAAATAAGGACATGTTATATTTTCAAAAAATTGCATAATTTGGCAACGTACTCTGCAGGGTGGAGTGAATTTTTTTCTCAGATTTCTTGATAACTAAAGTATAGATTTAAAGATCGTAAAGTATAGATTTTTCCCTGCAATTGAAAAAAGAACAGGTATGATTTTTTTCACAGTTATGGCGTATCAAAATTATCTATACATTTTTGTTAAATTGCTCATAACAACATAACTCCGCGAAAAAATTGTACAAATTTTTTTTTTTTTAATTGCAGGAGAAAGTCTATACTTTACGATAGTTATCGTGAAATTTGCGGAAAAATTAATGTTCATCTAGTAGAATGCGTCAAATTGTGCAATTTTTGAACATCCTTATTTTTGAAAAGACGGAAAGGATAAATTCAAAATCTGGCGATTTCTCTTTAAAGTACAAATTTCATTCTTGAAAATAAAAAAGATTTTAGGTGTGGTATTTTTTAAATTGTGCAAAATTCCGACATGAATGTAGCTATGCAATAATTTTGTCGACGAGCATAGATATCGCATCCATAGAAAGTTATTAGTGTAATTTTATCAAAGTGTTATGCCGTCTCGGAGAAGCGTAATGATGATGTACAAAGAGAAAATATTACAGTACAAATTATAACAATATTTTTGTAGTCTTGGACCGTACAAAATTATGACACAATTACTGTGTGTGTCTGTATACTTAAAAATGTTTAATTTACTACAAAGTTATTGTAATTATCTGAATGTTCTTTTATGTCATGTACCAAGTAGATCTTTAAATTTACTGTTTCTATAATAATGTATATATTACAATTTTATTATAGTTTAGTTTTTCAGAAAACAGAAAAAACTAATTTTCGAAAGATTCGCTTAGTAGTTTATATATAGTATCTCGTTAAAATAATCGTAGACTGATTTATAGGATCTTTTTCGCCAAAGTAATATCAGGATATCATACTCTTATCAACAAGTTCGAAAACAAATGAATAAATGTGACGCTGCTTCGAAATGATGCAACACGATAAAATTGTTATATCGCAGTATTTTAATAGAATCTTGAGGAAAAGAGAATTTGCTAGCAAAATTCATTAATCAACGCGACGAGTAGCGCGCGCGGCGCGCCTTATGAAAAATTCATAAACGGTTATTCAAAAATGGAAATTACTTGCTCTTCTATGTGTTACAAGCTACGGCGCTGACTATGCTTACTCGCTAACGCGATAAAATTATTCTAAGTGTTTTAGCGTGTGTGTTTGAATGCACGGTAAAAACACAGGTCGGTCCTCCGTGGCTTTGTCCGGAAACTCGAATGTTCGCGTCACGCGACACGTTATGGGGGCTCACATTACTTGTGTGTGTACACATCGGCTTGAAAAGGTATATAATATATATATATATATATATATATATATATATATATATATATATATATATATATATAT